GAGCGCTGCTCAAGTTTCGGAGCAGTCGCTGCATGTCATGCGTGACATGGTCGGTCAAAGCCCGAGACATCGAGGGCCAGGCCCTCGTGATGCGCGTGAAGTGGCACGTAAACCACTGAGCGCTGCTCGAGTATCGAAGAAGTCGCTGCATGTCATGCGTGACATGGTCGGCCAAGGCCGAGGCATCGAGGGCGAGGCCCCCGTGATGCACGTAAAGTGGCACGTAAACTACTGAGCACTGCTCTCGTTGCGAAGCAGTCGCTGCATGTTATTGATGGCGTGGTGGGACAGAGTCCGAGGCATCTTGGGCACGGCCCTTCTGATGCGCGTGGAGTGGCACTTTATCCACTGGACAAAGACTGCGGGGTTAGCAGCTCTTCGTCGGATGTTGTAGATAACTTCGAAGCTCCAAGAGCGGGCAGTGAGGGTGACACCGGACGACGCGGAGTACGTGTTCACCCTGGTCTCACCGAGACATGGAACCTCTATACAGAGGCGACGGTGACGCCGAATGCTGGCTGCAAGACGCCGGGCGTTGACCCTGATCCAGGGTGCGTCTACCGTAGACGATGGCGCACAGTTGTACACACTCGTCAACGGTATGACGGGGACGGAAGATGGCGACGTCCGCCTCGAGGATATGCCTGCAGTAGATGCTCTTCTTGAGCTGGACGAAATGTCCCTTGAAGAGTTCGGCAATGCCTTGAAGGCAGGCGATTTGGCAAAATGGTCATTGTACGATCGGACGAGAAGATAGATTCGTCATCGCTTCTGGATGAAGCTGTCTTGGAGGACACCAAGAGAGTGCTGAACGCATGGAGTGGATCGTCAATCCTACGGAATCCCTTGGATCCGTATCATCCTTTGTTAAAGATATTTCAAGACGTCGTCTTTAAAAGACCCGCCTTCGGTACTACCTCCGGACCGAGGTGTGCGTCATGAGATCGACCTGGTTCCGGGAACCAAATATTGCGTAACACGCCAATGGCCCCTACCCAAGGAGAAGTGCGACGTCATTT